GTTCTCCGGCGACATTTACAGCTCGGACGGGGAGGGCCACTGATGCTTGCTGGTGTAAGAGATTGGGATGAAGACAAGTTTTAAGTTGGGCATCATTGTGAGAATTTGACAACTTTATGGGACTTAATTGCAATTTTTTAAAATTTATTATACTACAATTTAACCCATAGTTCAAATATGTGACTTGTAGAAAATATATTAAATGTACAATAATGATAAAAAAAAAACATTAAAATATTGCGTAATGGATATATATTACATTCGGGACTTTAAAAGTAAAATACATATAATCGAACCACAATATAAAATTTCAAGCTAAAATTTTTAGTTCGATCGGTTCAGTTATTTTAGACATAAAATTTAAATTTCGTACAAAAAATATAAAGTTAGAACCGACAAATTTAGTTCATTCGTTTTTTGATCGATATAGTGCAATGTGATAGTCACTAATGTGCAATCCATCTAAGATTAATGTGCACTTGAAGTACATATATTATTTAATGTTTTGCCCAAAACCAAACTAGAACGAGAATAATCATATAATTTTTTTCGGTTAACCAAATTAATTAAATAATCAAAATATTGTGTAAATCTATTGTTTATTTATGTTGTGTGGAACTTTTATCGGAGTTATCGACGTTAATGGTTAATGGTGGAGTGATGTTATAAAGTGCAGCGTGTTGTTTTATAAAGTGCAAAATATTGTGCTATAATGTGCAACATACTAATATATATATAAAGTGCACTACCTATATGCGTATTGAATTAATCAGTTTAATCGATCTGTTACCCGCTTTACCCTAAATCCCTGAAATGTTATGTGATTTATTATAAAAATATATTTCATATGTTAATATATTTTTTTTATCATTGTTTTCGACTGAATATAACAATATATTATATAAAATATATAGAAAATATACTTTTTATATAGTTCGGTTGTTGTGTTATTTTTTTTTTAAATTGTAAAGCCGAAAGAAAAATAGCCATAATTTTAAAAGTAAACACGTGTTGAACTTTATTATGTGCATTTTGAAGTGCATAAATTATTTAATATTTTGCTCAAAACCAAACTAAAACAAGAATAATCAAATTATTTTTTTGGTTAACCGAATTAATTAAATAATCAAAATATTATGTATATATATTGTTTATATTTATGTTGTCCGGAGTTTTGACCGGGGTTATCGACGTTTATGGTGGTGTGTTGCGATAAAGTGCAATGTGATGTTTTATAAAGTGCGCAATTTTGTCTTATAAAGTGCAACGTAATGATATATAAAGTGCACTACCTATAATTGTACCCAAATAATCGGTTTAATCGATGCGTTACCCGATTTACCATAAATCCTTGAAATGGTTTGTGATTTACTATAAGAATTTATTTCTTATGTTAATATTTTTTATCGTTGTTTTCGACTGAATATTTAAATAAAATATATAGAAAAATAAATTTTTTATATAGTTCGGTTGTTGTGTTATTTCTTCTTTTTTTTTTTAATGTAAAGCCGAAACCAAAATAACAAAAATTTTATAAGTAAACACATATTTTGAACTTCATTATACAAATTTGAATGGAATAAGTTAGTTAATTCTGTTTCGGTTGCTATATGGTGCAGTCTGACATTCATTGATGTGCAATGTGATAGTCATTAATGTGCATGTCGTAATACCTCTCACGTCGTATATATATTTAATGTGAATATACACATTACATTGTAAATTTATTTATCATTAATATATATTTATTAAATGTTCTATAAATTACACATTTGACACATGTACCAAAATGTAGATATTAACAAAATTTATTAAATTTTAATGAGGCCCTTTTGAATTCTTTATCTTCCCAATCTAAGCCCTAATCCCCAAATCTCACATCTTCTTCCCCAGCACTTCACCGCCGCCACTCAGCCATCTCCGGCGGGACATTCGACGTCGACGTGCTCATCGGCCTCAGTCCTTCCTCCAGAGCTTATCCCGCCGCGACCCGAGCTCCGACGCCAGCTTCCAGAGAGAGTGGGTGAAATCGGCCGCCGTCTGAAATAGATGGAGAACGACGGCGGTGGAGCTCCGTACGATGGACCAACGGCGGCGGAGCGTACGCGTGACCGCAAGCTCTACGACGGCCGATGCAGAGATCCCGACGACATACCACGACCGGTAGTCAGAAGTCCTAAACTCGCGGCTGAAGTTGATGCCGGCAGTGGATCGGACCTCCATCGCGTACGGCGGCGCGGCAGCTTGGCGGAGGTGTTGTGACTCTTAAGCCGTCGTCAGGCATGGCGTCGCCGAAAAATCAGGCGGTGGTGGTCTCGTCGATTGTATGTGTATGTATGTATTTGTGTGTAATGTATGTGTGTGACTGTGTGTTGACCGATGTGTGTGTGTGTGTCAGTGTGAGAGAGAGAGAGATGGTTAGATAATAGGGATATGTGAGGTGTGATCGCCACGTGTCATGCAATAGTTGGGTTGAAGTGATTTGTTAGTTGGCATGAATTGATTGTTAAAATGTTAAAATGTCTATAATACCCTTAATGAATAAATAAATGCTTTTTTTAGCCACTACATCATCTCATCTAATGGCTATGATTTATTCTTATTTCTTTCATTGAGAATCATTCTCATGTGAACCCAACCCTATATATATATATATATATATATATTAGTCGATTCACTTTATTTATAGTGTTTCTCGATTAAATCTTGTATACGCTCCTTATTTTTCCTTTTCGGCCATATTGTATCTTAGAAACCGAACGAGGACTCAAATTTCAAATTTTCATCATCACATCAAATTATTATTACCCTAAAGATATTATTTGATGGCCTCTTTAAAGGAATAAATATCCTGTAATGGAACGGCCATAAGACCTTTTTGTCAAGGTAAATTATTTCAAATTTTGAAATCTTTTTGGTAACTCCCTTCTTATGGCCTTGAATCTTATCATTAAGACCAATTTTGAATACCCCATTTTATGCCCTTAAACTATGCACATCATGGAGTCATTATGGAGGGTAATATCCAATTAATTGCCTATCAAATAAGATTCCCATGAAACCAATTATGCCTTCTTCTTATACGTGAGGAGAGCATCCGAGTTTTGGAGAAAATATCTATTACTTACCTTAGCCCCTTCGTGAGATAAAAAAAATCAAGTCGGCATCATCACCGCGTGCACCAACCGGCGTCCCTCTTCCCGTTCACCACTTGTTGTTCGTGAGCCATCACCACGTGCGTGGTCGTGTTCTGGCGTTTTTCCTGCCACCGTAAGTGACCTCAGGCCATCGATCGTCGCCTCCGTTTGCTGCCATCATCG